GTTCTTGGTGGCAGATCTGCCTGCTTCGTCGGGAATCGATCCTCGAGCAGTCCTCGTGCGATCTTAGCATGCTTGCCCTTTGGGTGTAGGACCAGATTTGCGTCAACAGATATAATGAACCTTGTGGTGGTTTATACATTCCATGCATCCAACCGAATGTTTTAGATTCTATAGTAGAATGGAGAAACCACAATATTGATTATTTACTTCTGATGCTTATGATTTGTGACTAGAACCAGGTATTGAGTAACATCTAAGTTTGAAACATATTTGATATGGTGGTGTTTCAGTAAGTTTGGTGTGCTGAAAGAAGTAGGTGTAACAGATTAATAGTATAGATGAAACATGGACCCATTCTTTCTCTTGGAAATTGAATGGTCGTTTGTGCCCACTAACAAATAATTACTGTGCTGCTTTTGTTATATAGTGTTCTTGTATTCTTTAGGTACCATAATCGATGATTGTATTTCCTTTGCTACTGTTGCATGTCTTATAGTTATTTTCTTTAATCTAGACATTTACTTTATCCCCTTTGCTACTGTTGCATGTCTTAGGTACAAAGAAGATTTAAGTTGCAAAACAAAAAGATTTTGAGATTACTTTGTAATGACTTCACTTTGTAATGTCTTTCTCTTTAAATCAATGTGCAGAAAATACTCAAGGCAAGCATACCTGCAAAAGCGACGGGACAAAAAATTGAGGAAATTCGGTGAGTACAAGAATACTTCTTATATGTGGGCTCATTACTGTAGATTTTGGTGTCTAGATGTTTGATTGTGCAGGTACTAACATTTTTTTTTGTGATATATGCAGTGATGAAATTCTGGACCACCAGTACATTTTTCAGGATGTGAAACTAACAGAGGCAGAAGAAAAGGAGTTGAGGTAACAACTAAATGAAGTCCTACTATGGAGATAATTCTCTGAAGCTAATTATGTTTTCCTTTTTGAGTAGCTTTGTGCATACATTTCTAGACTCTGCATTCGCATGTAAACCCTGACATGAACTAGTTTGTGTCATTGTGTGTGTAGTTACAAGATGAAGTTATATGGTCTTGTCAAGGAACATGTTGAGACACCTGATGATGTTGGTGAGGTATGTTTTCTTCTCGGATCGATTTGCTCATTTAATAAATGTTAGTTTGGATGTTTGATCACATTTGGTTATTTGAAGTGCATTAAAATATTCCAAATTCAGTGGCTCTATTAAAAAAAGACAACCTGCGGGGGTAAGACAGCCCCCGGGCATTGCACTAACTCACGCACGCAGGTCAAGAAAACCCTGAACATTGCCCCACCCATACACAACGGCACCATAGTCCATATGAGAACAACCACGACCGGGGCCAGACCTTAGACCTGTGTTTTCGTGTGGGACAGAATTGGGAACAAACAAGTATGTATGTGCTCACTAGTATCTAAAATTCTAGCTTACACAACGCCTTCATGCGCCTAGAATGTGCATATGGCGTCACCTAGGTGTCCGCCATAAATGCCTAGGCATTGTGAGAGGGAGGGGGGCGGGTGGGGGTTAGGGCGCCGTGCCTCAAAAACCATGCTTATGACCATACAACATGTTGTACACATGTTTGTTAGTATCTTTAATGTCAACGAGTTTATGTACATGCATTTTAGTACAAAATGCCTGAAGCTTATGACATGGGTGAAAATGTCAATCAAGAGAAGAGATTCTCTGTGGCCATGCAGCGGTACAAGTAAGGTTTACATTATGACCTCTTATGTGCATGATGGCATGCAATTTTCTAGTTTATTCGTGCGTCCTGATAGTTTCATGAACAAGCAGAGATCCTGAGGCCAAGGATAAAATGAACCCTTTTGCTGAACAGGAAGCATGGGAAGAACACCAAATAGGTAATGCCACATATCTGAAACAAACTCCCACGTCTTTCAGCATGATCTCTTTAAGTGTTACCTATGGTCTTTCGCTATATATTTCGAAGAGACTGACATGGAAGAACACTATGTACTTGTTCCAGGAAAATTGAAACTGCGATTTGGATCCAAAGATAAGAAGCCGTCTTCAGATGAGTATCAGTAAGTCGCTCTTTTTGTGCTAAGTTAATTAGTTGTGCCACTAAAGAAAACCATTTGTATTTTTATCCATTTATTCAAAATCTTGCCTCCTAAAGGGCTGCCTCTTTTTTTTTTTGTGTGTGGGGGGGTTGTAAATGGAAGTTCCTTGATGCTTTTGGATCACACTCTGAAGGCAGTGCTGGTTATGATATGCATGTTAGAGAGTTGTGTTATAAACTCAGAGGCTACCCTAGGATCATGTATTGGAGCCTGGTGCCCATGTCGGAGCCCTACATTTTATTATTCTCAAACATGTAGGAGAGCTATGTATCATTATATTAAGAAGAAATAAAGGGAAAAGACCCCTTACAAACACACACTTGCACAGACCAAGGGCATTAACACCTATGTACAAACACAACTCAACCTCGACCAAAGATGAATCTAGGCTCGGCAAAAGGGCTAAGAGGTGGGAAATTCCTCGAATCCTGTCCAGACTCAAAGTTATAGTTCTTCACCATGGTGACGATCTACCAAAATGGGGGAGGAGAGGGAGGGACGAAAGTCCATAGAGGAGAAAGGGAGACCAGGAGTCTTGATTGCCCTGCTGCCGCTGTAGACACAAGCCGCCATAGGACCATCCGGAAGCATGAGAAGATAGTCTGCCGGCGAGGAGGTTGTGAGCGAGAAGAGTCAGTTGGAGCTCTGCATCTACAAGAATTGGGTAACTGATAAAGTTATAAAAGTTATATTGGTTTAGGGACTTCTGCTACTTAGTTGATGCTATTTGCTACCTACCTAGGAATCTTTGTGGGTCCAAATTTTCTTGAGAACATATTTTTTTAACCTAATTCAGCATTCAGCAGTAAGCTATATTTTGTATGTAATGCAAAGAGTTTGTGCATAAATTTTGTTTGAACTAAACTATTTCTATTGCATTACATTGATGAATAATGTTGACTGCGCCTTTGTCCGACACTTGATTTCTTCTTGTATTACATTTACAACTTCTTAGATATGTATTTGAAGACTAGGTAGCGTGCCCGTGCGTTGCTACGGGATAGCTAACATTTTATACTAAAAACACACGGATCGCACGATAAGATAACAATACTGTAAAAATTAAATACCAACGTTAAAGTGACATTTAATCCAAAAAGCAAAGTTTATGAATTTAACACAGTCACGGAGAGCGCGACGTCGCAGGCTCATAGGCTCTACTGTATAGATCTTTCCGTGATGTGGCTAAGATAATGTTTTATATCGGCAGGAAGAAATCTCCGATATTCATTTCTTTCGTGCGCCAATAAATCCACGAATAAGTTCCGCCGCATCTCTATACCATCATGTACATAGGTTCAAGTATATATATGTAAATATAGGTAAATGCTCGTGCATTGCAACGGGAAAAAACAATGTTACGATAACATATGTATGAACATGTATTGTACTATTACCTATAAGTATGATATACGAGAACACCAATATTACATAAGTCTTCATGTTGTATATACCATTATAAAGTTCAAGAAATCATTAGTATTTTGGGGCTATTGCGTTCTTGCCCCTATTTTGAACCCCAATTGTGATTTTACCCCATTTTCTTTCACTTTGTGTTTTTACCCCTGCTTTTCCAAAACGAAGGTTCAGTTTACCCCTACTCCATGAACAGCAGGTAACAGTGTTAAAAAAATTGACAGATGACAAGTTTGCCATTCTGAATATTGCGTTTTTGCCCCTATTTTAAACCCCAATTGTGATTTTACCCCACTTTCTTTCACTTTGTGTTTTTACCCCTACTTTTCCAAAACGAAGGCTCCGTTTACCCCAATTCTTAACTCAGTTATCTACATCCGGATCAAAGCAATTAAAAATTAACAAAAGCCCTGTGAAAAGACAAACTTACCCCTTATCTCTTGGTCATCTCTCTCAGGGTCATCCCTCTCAACTCTAGTGGCAGCGGGCGGCTGGGTGTGGCGGCGGAAGGGCAGCGTCGGGCCGTCGGGCGGTAGCAGGCGAATGGGCAGCGTCTTGACTAAGCGGAGAAGAAGCGGCGGCGCTGCGTGACTAGGCCTGTGGCTGCTGCTGCTTGGGTGGCAGGCTGGCTTGGCGGGCGGCGTTGCACGCTGCCTCTCAAAAGCAACCGACCATGAAGCCGAAGACCCGCCTCTCTCTCTCTCAACTCTAGCGGATGGCTAGGTGCGGCGGCGACGGCGGAAGGCCAATGGCCGGGCCCGTCGGGCGGTGTGTGGCGAGTGGGCGCCTCCGCCGCGCGCACGACGCGCCCGCCCGACGGCCCCCGCTGCTCTTCTTCCGCCACCGCCCGCAAGACCTAGCCGCCCTGCTCGCTAGTGTTGAGAGGGACGACCACGAGAAAGACAAACGAGAGATAAGGGTAAGTTTGTCTTTTCATTGTGGCTTTTGTTAATTTTAATTGCTTTGATCCGGATGTAGATAACTAAGTTAAGAATTGAGGTAAACGGAGCCTTCGCTTTTGAAAAAGGGTAAAACACAAAGTGGAAGAAAGTGGGGTAAAATCATAATTGGGGTTTGAAATAGGGCAAAAAACGCAATATTTTTGAACTTTTTTAACACCGCTAAAGTTCACGAGGTAAAAAACCTTCGCTTTGGAAAAAACAGAGGTAAAAACAAAGTGGAAGAAAATAGAGGTAAAATCACAATTGAGGTTCAAAATAGGGCAAGAACGCAATAACCTAGTATTTTACATTCTAACTTGACTAAAACCATCGGTTTAAGGGCCCTAGCATGCAACTTGTCATGTAATATCTTTTAGAACAAGATAATTTTTTGTAACTATAAACGATCGGACAACCATTTGGACCAATTCCCAACCCATGTAAGTATATATCATGTGTTAACAATCAATAGTGCAAGGGAGGTGTCATGCATAGTCCCTATTCTAAGTTGTTTGTTTGTTCATCATACAATTGCAAGCATTTCATAATTTAAGCACATACAGAGTTCTTAAGCTGTGTGCCTGATCCAAAGCTTAAGTCGCCAGCTAGAATCGGCAGAACTCTTGAGTCCACAATTGGGTCAGATATAGTATCCGTGGGTATCTCATTCTTTGATTCACGAAGGATGGCATTAAACATGGCAATATCTAAATGAGCTACGCAATGCTTCATCACCTGGTAGAAACATAAAAAATTTCATGACTTCACATAAAAGATACAATTACCAAAGAAACAAAAATCAGCATTTGAAAAGCATACCAATTTTGCCAACACTGGTAAACATCCACACTCATGTCCACCAGCACGAAGAGGACAACTTCTGCTGAATGCATCATCAAATGTAGTTTTTCAGAGATCAATAGAAAAACTCCTATGTTGCTGATCACCCAGAAAGCCCTAACAACCTCCCAATCTTTGGAGTTAACAAATCTTCTACAGGGTTTTGCATGTGGGGTGTCATTGCATGTGAAATAAAAATCCTTCAGAAAACTAAAAAATGAATTAGTTTGCAGTAGGTTTTACTCATCACTGTTTTACTGGAGCCATACTCAGCTTTTTGGAAAGTGCCAAGACAGTAATAGGGTTAACCTTTATATGCCACCACATCTTCTCCAATGCATCTACAATGTGATAGTTTCGCTTCAATCATCTAGCAGCTTCATGATATTGGGTATGCTTGCCATTGTAGTTACTTTTCCATCGTGTTGTAGCGAAACTCCTCTCAGGCTTCTTTGCACCATTTGTGCTGAAAACCTTAAATGGACTTGAGTGCCGTAAAGTACCAAATGTTTGTGCAACGATCTCTCAGGACAAATGTGTTCGATAGCTAAAATATCAGCCTACATCAAAATTAGGTTCTTACTTCTTAAATTTTGATCTGAAAGAATTGATGCTGACAACAATAAGGGAAACAAGCGGTAGAGCGTAGTCATAATTTACCTTGAAACATCATTGCCACAAGATTTTGAAACAAGCGGAAGCTCAGAAACTGAATTTTTTGCAACTGAAGCTTTCCTATCTGAGGACCAAAATTTTGATGCATGAATGTAAATCCTAGATAAATGGGGAGCTAGCATATGAAACTTATGTGATGAACAACCATGCTCTAGCACCACAGAGTAGAGAGAAACCTCAAGAGCAGCTTCATTATTTTCATACGAAACTTAGTTGCCATTATCAGCTAGATTTTCTTCAGTATTAGCAATTCCATAGTCAGTGCCACAAATCTGATCACATTTTAGAGTTTCATCCAAATATCGATCTCCTTTGCCTCTTTAGTGGCTTTACCTTCAATCTCTCTGTCCTCAATGACATTACCATTAGTTACTTTGCTCTGAATAGGTTTATCATTAGTGACTTGACATTTCAACGACCTTATCATCCTTTATTCCGTCCTCAATGTCCTCATCATTCTTTGCTCTGTCTCAACAGCTTTATCATCGGTGGCTCTGCCTTCAACAGTGCTACCATCCTTGATTCTGCCCTCAACTGCTTTATCATCTGCGGGTTATTAGTAAAAAAAGAAAAAATCCATCTCAAAAAAAAGAACAAAACTTACACCATTTAAACATAAAAAGATCAGACAAATATTAAAGCAATGGATATTAGTATGATTGTTATTTTATATCTATAGGCAACAAATCACGAATGAATCATTGATGTCTAATGGAATGCATAAATAACCAGCGCCATAGTTATAAATTAAGTCTGTTGAGCTAAAGAAAACAGGGAGACAAAAATAACCATTTCCCTTGCTTATTTGAACAATCCAACAGTTGTTGCTTCTTTCACTTTACCAACAGAAGATAAATATCAAGTCACTGCTAGTTTCTTCCAAACTGTCATGCCTGCTTATTCACAGAGGTGGGAACATCATCACAAGATTATGTAAATTCGATTAGCATTCTATCTCTTTCTAGCAAGAAGCCAATTATGGCTACTAGCTCAAGATTATGATTTAGTAGTACATACTACCACCTTATTAATTCTAGAGCTAAGAGAAATGATGTGGTAAGATATTTCACTACCTTAAATAGTCCCTGATTGTATTATTACCAGCAATAATCTTAGTATTTTTTATGAAACTATCCGAAGGTACAAAATTACACATGACAATCGAGTCATGCAAAGATTAGATAGAAAATATTAACGGTGTATGAACCCCATCATCTTCTTCCTCATCATCGTCCCCAGCATCATCCTGCTCAATGGCTCGCCATGGTACAGCGGCAGATTAAGCACCATACAAAAATAGGAAAAAAGATTATCAAGGTTGACTGAATTTTGACATTGGTCTGTACACTCACAATCACCGATTTCAACGAGCGCCATCAGCCTGTCGGCAACGTCGAGCTCCTCGGTGTCCTACAGGGGGCACGCGAAGGCCTCGAGATCACGTACTCGCCACCGGCAGCATCATGTATGCCCGTTCCTACAAAAAGCAGGAGGAATCAGCAGCGATCAGCGAAGTGCCCGGCCTGGGCGCAATCGACCCCGCGAGATTGGCCTCTTGCTAGCTCCTGGACGACGCGGGCGAGGGCGAGATTGTCCTCTTGCTAGCTGAGGCTAGTGAACGGCCACCTCCCGTCAGCCGGCGGCGCGACCACCACCGCAGGGATCGACCGTCACCGCAACGTGGTAGATAATCATATTCGGTTGTTTTGCATGAAGGAAAATCATAACCTCTTGATGAGAATAATTTCTTATTTGATTTGATTTGATTGATTGATAGTGGTTTCCTTTTGCATGTAAGAAAGTTATATCACAACAGGCATGATGGTCGCGCGAGGGAGCACTTCCTTTTGCATGGAAGGAAACTGCCATGATTACCACCGCACGCGGGTCTCATGCAAGAAAAATCAACAACTGCCGTGATTGTTGCACGGAGGTGGGATCGATCGCATGGGGTGACAGACGGACGAACCAAGGCAATTGTTGCACCAAAACGATGTCCACACTTTATTCTTTTTAGTTGTATAGGAGATACGATTGATTTTGTTAAATCATCAGTCATAGAAGGAACCCAGGTAATCAGTTACATGCTTTTAGTTTCCTTGTTTATCGTGATGTCTTTAAGAGGTATTGTTATCTTACTGAAATTTCCTATTCTAGCCTGAAGACGATTCAGATAAAGAGGACATTGAAGCAAAAGATATTTTGAAAAGGGAGCTCCAGGTGAGTGTGGTTACTGGTCATAGAACATGTAGTCCATATGTGATGTGTAGCCTTTTCTTTTGCTGCGATAGAAGTATAGAACATGTGTACTTTTCTTGGCAGCAGCATACATTCCTGAAAGATTTATGTTAATATCCTCTTTATTAACAATTCTCCTTTTCTGAACTAGGATGAGCGAAAGACACTTCCAATTTTCAAATTTAAGGATGAACTGCTTAAGGCTGTAGAAGAGTATCAGATTTGTGTTGCTTTTGACCTTTGTGTAATGATATTGCTTGATGATCATTATTTGGATGACACATGACATCCTTAGATTAAATCATAGAATCTAGGGAAAATTAGTAACGTAGCGTCGAAAGATCTCCACATTCAAATAATGCCATTAAAAGTTCTGTAAAATAGCACCAAGAATAAACATCACGCTAAACTAGCATTCTGTCACATTTGCTGATAACGCCGTCCACCTGTCTTTCTGATCACCACTTCTTCGTCCTCGCGAACGGTTATGGCAGCTGGGGGGCGCTGCTCTGCAGTGACCCCGTGAGGTTGGCGTGCGGCGCCTCTGGACATGTTGAGGCCACCTCCATGCCGTGGCCGCGACATGACTTCTCTGCGAACCTCTACATGGCCATCACAGCCACGAGCGTTGTGGGAACAGTTGCAACCTGCGAGCCATTGCAGCCATCGATGGCGTACAGCACGTCGGCGTAGGAGCGGCAACGCCAATCAGCAGCAATCCATCGCCAAGCTCTAGCTCCTTTGCAATCCAATCTCTCCTTTGTCTCTCAGCACCAGCACATGCTTCCCCAAATCCACCAACCAGAGCTACAACAATTCATTTTTCTGGCAAAAGAATACATCTACAACAGTGTCAATGCGTCATCAGGCTGCTTGACGGAATGGTTTGCTTCTAATTTTTTTAGGTAAAGATAGATAATACACTGGGATCCTCTAAATATAGTCCATATGTAATGTGTTTTCAATATTCAAAAGTAGAATATGTAATGGATCAAAGATGATACTTCACTTTTAATAAAAGACATACACAAGTATATATGAGTATGATATGTTACTGGGATAAGTAGATTCAAGTAGAACTTTTTGTCAATTGAGTTTCCGGTCTGGCCAAGATTCAAGTATGTAATGTGCAACAAAGCTCTATTGCAATGCCCATAGGGCCACATATGAAGATGTACAAAGTGCAGATAGCACCCTACACTAAAGTCTAAATACAATATACATATATCTAACACCCTCCTCAAACTCATGGTAGTTCAACAGCACTGAGTTTGGAGAGAAAATAGCTATCTGTGTGCCCTAGTCTGTGCTTTCATGAAAATATCCTCTAGCTGAACCTCAGAAGGCACATGGTGGAGAGTAATAACATAATCATGCACTTGCGATCTCGTATAGGAAGCACCAATGCCAATGTTTTTGGTGAGTTCATGTTTCACTGGGTCCCTGGCAATATTGATCGCACTAGTGCTATCAGAGGAGAGGGGAGTCAGTGCAGTAACTGGCACAATGAAAACCTCAAGCAGCCATTGTAGCCAAGTCACCTCTGCAGTCACAATTGCCATAGCCCGCAACTCAACTCAACCTCACACTCAACGGGGAACTACAGTCTGCTTTTTGATCTTCTAGGCAATCAAGCAGGAGCCAAGAAAGACACAATAAGCTGAAAGAGAGCGACAGTCAGAGTGATCACTAGCCCAAGTGGCATCAGAATAAGCCCAAAGCTAGAGGAAAGAAAAGACGGCGAGAAATGGTTCCACGAAGGTAACACGAAGGAGGTGGGCAAATGATGGCAGGTTTGAAGATCAATTTTAATAAGAGTGAAGTGGTGATGATTAATGATGACAATACTTGGGACTCAACTTATGCTGATATCTTTAATTGCCAAGTGGGTAAATTTCCCATCAAGTATTTGGGAGTACCTGTCAGCCCCAGTAGGCTACATCTAAGTTGGTTACTTTTGATTGATAAAAGTAATAAGAGGCTGGACATAGCTGGCAGAGCAACTCTAATATATTCCAGTCTTAATAATATAACAACATAGCATGTCAATCCCAAGCAAGTTGGGGTAGGCTAGAGTTGAAACCCACCAAGAGCCCCTAATGGTTCAGGCATAGATCTCTAGGTATATCCCAAGCTTTCAAATATCTTTTTATTGCCTCTCCATGTCAATTTCGGTCTTCCTCTACCTTTCCTCACATTATTAGCTTGGCTTAGGACTCCACAATGCACTGGTGCCTCTGAAGGTCTTCTTTGGACATGGCCAAACCACCTCAACCGATGTTGGACAAGCTTTTCTTCAATTGGTGCTACCCCTAGGCGATTACATATATCATCGTTCCAAACTCGGTCCATTCTTGTGTGACCACAAATCCATCGCAACATACGCATTTCTGCAACACTCAGTTGTTGAACATGTTGAATCTTTGTAGGCCAACATTTTGCTCCATACAACATAGCTGATCTAATCGCCGTTCTATGAAATTTGTCTTTTAGCTTTTGTGGTACTCTCTTGTCACAAAGAATGCCAGAAGCTTGTCGCCACTTGATCCACCCTGCTTTGATTCTATGGGTAACGTCCGCATCAATATCTTCATCCCTCTATAGCATTGATCCCAGATAACGAAAGGTATCCCTCTAAGGCACTACTTGACCTTCCAAACTCACATCTCCCTCCTCTTGTGTAGCTCCGCCAAAGTCACATCTCATGTATTCGGTTTTAGTTCTACTTAATCTAAAAGCTTTAGACTCAAGGGTTTGCCGCCACAACTCTAGTTTCTATTTACTCCCGCCTGGCTTTCGTCTATGTACTTGCTTGTTGCTTCCTAAGACAACTATTGATAGCATTGATAAAATCAGAAGAACCTTTTTTGGCAAGGGGTGGCACTAAAAGGAAATATCACTTGTCATATGGACTAAGATCCGTAAGAGCAAAAAGAAAGGGGGTTTGGGCATTAAAGATTTAAAGAAAATGAATATCAGTTTTCTTTGCGAATGGTGATGGAAGTTAGAGCACGAGGAAGTGTTGTGGCAAGATATTATTAAGGCCAAATATTTTCATAATCATAGAAGTACTGACTCTCCTATTTGCTATGATCTTCTCATCAGGGGAGAAGCATTAAGGTTGCCAGATTGGTAATGGTAGAAAGACTAGATTCTGGATTGACCCTTGGCTATATGAAAAACCTATTT